CTCTGGCTCCATCCCCAGCGTGTATATGCTTTCTCCTAAACATACACAAGAATCAGGTGACCCTTTGCCTTCATAAATCCTCAAGGACCTAAGTAGAAAGTGTGTGTTAGTTAAGCTGAGGAAATGGCAAGAGTGGTTGGGTGTAGTAATAACACGCTGTGGCTGCAGCTTTAGGAATGGTGGATCTCCATGTAGGTACAAGTACCAGACCTGAGCCGTTACCTGCAGCTGATGAGCTCCAAAAAGAGCGAAACCTCTTAGGTCCTGCAGTACTGGCTTACAACAGTAAGACTTGCCGGGGTTGCACTTGTGTGTCTGTCATTTAGTAACTCCTATTTCATCTCTTTGTTGCTGGTTCATTTTCTTTCCAGTTCTTACCTTAGCTGAGCAAGCATATCCCCAAGGGCCTGGTCATGTTAGACTTACCTGTGATCTTGTTGCATCTTAAATGGTCTTCTACTGGGTGTCTCTTCTTCTTATAGTTTGTTGTTAATTGTCTTGTGGAACTAAGAGTTGCACCTAGAGTATCACATTCTACCACTGAGCCACTTCCCTAGTCAGGCCCCATGACTTTAATTACCCCTGTTTAATGAGGGTTCCAGAATCTTCTTTACTAACTTCCTTTTTGAGTCAAGATCTCACTGTGTAGCCCTGGCTGACCTGGAACTTGCCACGAAGACCATGATGACCTCAAATTGACAGAGATCTATTAAAAAGACATGCACCACCACGCCTGAACATCCAAATTATTGATTTTTCTGGTATTCACTGTTATCCTTTCCCCATAAAATAACACACATATATGTATGCACATGTGCGCGCACACACACACACACATACTCCAAAACAGACACGTGACATCTTTCTTCAACTTCTTGCTGAGTTACTGAGTACAGTCTTCCCAGATATAATCAACTAAAAGCCAACAACAGATCTTGTCTACCCTTTTCTTTTTCTCAACATCTCTCACTGGCTATTACACCAAAAAAAAAATTATCTACTGCCAGGTTGTGGTATTGTCCCAGGACTCAGGAGGCAATGTCAGGCAAAGATCTGTGACTTTGAGGCTCCCTGATCTACTTTAGTGAGTTCCAAGACAGCCGGAACTATGTAGAGAGACCCTGTCTCAAAAAAAAAAAAAATTTAAATAAAAGTATAACTTCCCTTTGGAGGCCACTAAAAAAAAAATTGTCTCCTAAGTCTATCTTAGTTAGTAATGAACTCTGGGTTCTTAGGACAGAGCTCTGCAGTTGTCTCTGTGTCTGTCTCTCATCCGATTACCTAACACTTACTGGGCTGGTGCTGCACACTGAGCTGTCCTGATTCACCAGTGTGTCTAAGGAACTTCCTCAGTGATTTAGCCACGGGGTGGTCTAGTGTGTGAGATGAGAAATCCACATAGACTTAGAACACACTGAGCAAGTGCACTGCTAGCAACATGCTGGAGACACACTGGGACCAGGAGGGGGAGCCCATCCCCAGCCTAAGGAGAAAGTCTTCAAGCAGGTAAGACTGCCAATGAGTCAAAAGCTCTCACCTGTACTGGGTGACAGTGCTTTCTTCAGTAGGGTCATCCTGTCAGTCCCAGTACACAGTGTTCCTTGGGTTTCTGAGGTGGTGGTACACCCTCACTTCAGTACCATTGTAGCTTTTGTCTGTTCTCAAGTTTGCTGGAGGGTTCAGGGGAGGTGCCATGGCTGTGGTTGCAGAAAGGCGCCACCCTAGTTCATATAAACCTTTACTTCCTGCACTTGCCACCAGATGGCGATCAGACATTATTTAAAAGACTTGCTCAGACATCCGAATAGATGATTTAAAAAATGAAGTGATTCTGAGCTGATGCTATAACTCCTACATATGTCTTAAGTCCTATTAATAATCAACAATAGCTCAAGCAGCTAAAAGAGTTACTGATAGTCAGGCATGGTGACATACCTTGTTAACCCCTGCACTTAGAAACTTGAAATGGGAGAATAGGAGTTTGAGGACAGCCTGACTTTAAAAAAGGATGAAGAATTACTTATAACAAATGTAGGAATCTTTTATCAAAGCCAAATGTGATCAGTCTGTAAAATCAAAATGGATGTAGCAGAAGTTTGATGAGTTCATCTACTTCACTTAAATGACAGAACATATTTTTATTTTTAAATGATTTGTTTATTTATTTGTTTAATGTACATTGTTGTTTTACCTTCATGTGTGTCTGTGTGAGGGTGCCAGATCTCTGAACTGGAGTAACAGATAGTTGTGAGCTGCCATGTGGGTGCTGAGAATTGAACCTGGGTCCTCTGGAAGAACAGCACTGAGCCATCTCTCCAGCCCCAGACAGACATATTTTTAAACCATAGAATGAGTAAAGATGTAGAGGTAGTATTTATTAATATTAATGATGCTTCTGTGTAAAATGTCAACATTTTCAGGAAGACCTATGTATGAAAGGTCTATCCTCGACATTAAGTGAAATAATAGTTGCTTGGGCGATATCTCTGTACTCTGCAAGTGACATCAGGAAAGACAGCTTTGTACTTCTTTTTCTTCAGCAGTTTGCAAACTATCTGCAAAGGGCCAGTTTATTGTCCACTTTAGGCTTGCAGACCATATGGTCTTTGTCTACCCAACTCTGCCATCATAGCATGGATAGCATGACATAGCCATATAAGATATATAAGCAAATGGGTGTGACTGTGCTTCAGTAAAACTTTATAAACAAGTATCAGGCAAAAGTTGACTGCATGCCATTGTTTGCCATGTGAGGAAGACTGGATTCTGCAGCTCTTTCTCCCTTCTGTCCTTAGTCTGTGGCTGCAGTCAGGTAAGGACATTGAATTAGATGATCTCTGATAATTGAGACTTTATTTCCTTTAGTGCCTTTCTCTTAAGCTAAGTGGTCAGAAGACTGACACAGATGTGATATTTTTCTTACTTATAAGATCAAATTTTTAAAATCTAGTTCGAACAAAATAATAAGCCTTAAGGAAGAGTTCCTGAGAATTGGTATGATTGACATTGCCATCTGGATCCTGAGAGACCAGGGACATCCATCTGGCCTGTACATAGTAACATTTATGGCCTCTATTCACTAGATGCTAACTAATGCCTACCCACCCCACTTTTGATAGCAGAAAATGATTTCAGGTATGAAGTGTCCCCTCGGAGGCAAAATCACCCCTGATAAGTGCTATTTCTTTGCAGACTATGTTTTAATATTGATATTGCTTTTTTATTTTATAAATGTCCCTGGGGCTGATGAACCCTAGTGGAAGGTTATCTGAGATGGGTAACTGAAAAGTCACAATAACACAAAGGAACATGGGTGAAGAGAGATAAAAATAAGCTTACTGTTGAAGAACACTGAGTGTATATTTTCTTTTCCACTATTTATATTATCTATGAGCTCTAGCAGAAATAACTCATGCTGGATGAATTCATTATTCCTTCCCATGAGGCTTGGGGTTTGTTTGTTTGTTGACTTACTTATTTTTTCTTTAAACGAGTAACTTCACTGTGGCCTGTTCCTATAACAGAGTATTTTTAGGTAGAGAAAGTAAGTGCAATGTGGCTTCACCAACAACGTAGACAGACTGTTTTCTTTTGGCCCTTTGAACATAGTCTTACACTGTAGCCTAAACTGATCTGAGACTTACTCTGTAGTTCAAGCTGGCTTCACATGAGTGACAAACCTCCCGCCTGAGCTTCTCCGAAGTGCTGGGTCACAGGCAGTGGCTACCATGCCTAGAAAATCTTTGAAGCTACATTTCCAGGTGGTAACACTGGTCCTTTTTAATTGTTTATCTTTTTCTTCTCTTGTATTTTCCCCCTTTAGTTTTATTTTTGTTGTTGCTGTTTTGTTTTTGGTTGGGTTTTTTGTTTTGTTTTGTTTTTGTTTTGAGACGGGGTTTCTCTGTGTAGCCCTGGCTATCCTGGAACTCTCTTTTTAGACCACTCTGGTCTCGAACTCACAGAGATCCACCTGCCTCTACCTCCCAAATGCTGGGATCAAAGGTGTGTGCCACCTACCTGGCCTCTCTCATGGTTTTTGAGACAGGTTCTCAAAGCTCACTGTGTAGCTCAGGCTGGCTTCAGACTCAAGATCCTCCTGCCTCAGTCTCCCAAGTGCTGAAATAATAAGCATGTAACACTGTGCCGAGCTAAATCCCAGTCACTTAGCTGGAGCTGACAGTAGGGAACATCTGATTTACCTCCATGTTTTATGGATGCTCATTTGTTTCAGTTTTTCTCTTCCAGTTATCAGTGACTCTAACTCACAGCTGACAAGCCCCGAATACCCAAATGGTTTTGGACAAGGAGTTTTTGTCTTGTTTTCTCTTACTTTTTAAGCAATGGCTAAAAATCTGAGACTCCTAGAAGCATTGGTTTTGATGTCAGGCTCTGCTTTCGACAGCTTCTGGGGCCTGGTACAGTATCTTTCCTCTACTGAGCGGGTGCTTCCCTTCTGTAGAAAGCTAGGGAATTTCCCAAACTCTGGTCACAAGAAGACTAAATGAAAACTATGTTTGAAACTTGTGTAAATGTAGATTTCTGTTATCTGGGTTTGGCCGGAAAGTGTGGGTGTTTCCACTGCACAGTCATGTTTGAGAACAATTAGAGAGGTAATGTCTGAGGTCACACTAACTCTAAATGCAATGGTTACAGGAAACAATGTGTGTCTCTGAGTGTCCTTTATTATGTTATTTTCTAGAAAATATTTCATATTCTACAAGAAAAAATGAAATAAATATACCACAATCCCCTCCACACATATACCTTCACACAAGCTTTGCTTGCTTCTCTAATGTCAGTTTATAGCTCAGAGTGATCCCTACCAGTGTTAGATGATGGCTACTCTTTTAACCAGAAAGTCATTTTGTAGTGTCTATGTTTCAGCCTTGGACTTAGGAAAGAATTTAAAAAGTATGATATCCTGATTTCCATAGAATTCTAAAATGGAATAAAATTAGAAATTCTATTTGTTAATTTGTTTGTTTTTCTTTAATTTACAGAATGCTCTTTTCAGTTGCATTAGCAGAAATGAAAGTAAGTATACTGTCAATGATTGTACAAGCAGTTCAGAGAGAAAGACACTTTACAGACATGGTTAGCAGTCAGAACTGATTGCCCAGACCCTTGCCATTATACCTGCTAGGCCGTCTGAAGAAGCTCACACAAGATTCTGCTAGATCATCGTCTGTGGGGTGTTCAAATCACTCATTATTCTAGCAATTCCTGTGTCCCGGTTGCAAGTTTATCAACCGACACTGTAAGTAGATGGCGCCAAAGGATGATAACACCAAATAATAGGGTCCCTTTCCAAGGTGAAATACATGACCAAGCACAAACTCCGAAATAGTGTAGAATAAGAAGTGGCACACTGGTCAAATGCAGCAGTTCAGAAGAAACAGGGATCACACTGCAAGGCTGCTTAGAGGAGAGTTCATAGCTTAACTAGGTGTTGAAGTTAAATAAGATATGTGTGGGAGGGGGATGGGAGAGAAGGGGGACAGGATTTATACAGTGGAGACTGGAGGAGCGGCAAACCATGTGACCAGAATATCAACAGCAACAATTAGAGGTGGGAGAAGACAACTGTGGAACAAGCAGTTGATTGGATTAGCTTGGTAGTGTGGTGTATTGAAGAGTAACAAGCAGCCACATTTCTACCCCTTCAAGCTGGGGCTAGTTCAGAAGGTACCAGATAGTCTTTGGCCAGTAATCTTAGGTCCTCCCACACTGGCAATGAAGGGATCAGAAGACAGGCATTTGGTCCTGTTTTACTTCCTGCACTGTAACTCCCAGGATTCCAGCATCACCATTGCAGTTTACACAAATAAATGCAGCCATAACTCCATTGTGTGGCTGAAGATATAGCACAGTGGTAGAGTGTGTGCTTAGCATCTCTAAGGTCCTTGTCATCTCCAACACTGCATACATAACAACACTGAAAAGCAGTTGTTCCCCACTACGAACAAGAGCTCTTTGGCAGTAGACAAACTTGAGAGTAGTTACAAGTCAAAAGCTAGTACACAATAGGTGTGGAACAGTGCCCTGGCCTGGAAAACTGATGTGTGTCCTTTATCAGTTAATTCAGCCCTCGCTTAGTTAATTTGCACATGACTCGTCATTATTTCTTTCAGTCACCTGGATTCTTGGTTCATTGGTTTGTGGGATTCACTGATGCCCCATTTCTGGTACCTCCATAGCCATTTCTAATATCATCTGGGAATTCTTATCTGCCTCTCTGTAATCCTCTCCTGCCACTCATCTGTTCTAGCTCCTTTAGCAACCCCTGCACATACACCTTTAGATGCCGTTAAGGTCTCCCACCCTCTCCACTATGAGTCCCACACCCGCACTTCCAGGCACTTATTTCCCCTTTTCACATTAAATAGCATCCCAATGTATTTTTCTTTGTGTGTTGTCTTCCAATGTGTGTAGCTCAGCCTGTTCTTGAACTCTAAATCTTCTTGCCTCTGCCTCTTGATTGCTGGGGATTACAAGTGTGCGCCACCACTCCTGGTCATTGGGGTTGTTGTTGTTGTTGTTGTTGTGTTTTGTTTCATTTTGTTTTTGTTTTGAAACAAGGTCTCATGTAGTTCAGGGTAGCAATAAATACGTGATTATTCTGCCTCCATGTCCCAAGTGCTATGTGATGACAGGTGTGTACTACCACACCTGGCTTTTATTTCTCTTCCAAATACAAAACACAGACACTTACCTTCAAATTACCATGCTTTGACTTTTACTTGAGACAGATTGTGTCCATTGTGAAATGGAGACTACTACAGTATAGAAATAATCTTGCAAATATTCAAACTGTGTAGAAATTTTGAGACTTCAATTCCAAAGTATACCTTTGTTAACTTTATAACTTTTCTTGCTATCTTGGTTTTCACTGGTCCTGTTTTATAAATGTGAGGCACTGGTGTTTTGTTTTCTTTGGTTTTGTTTTGCTCTGTCTGTAAGTCCCCCAAGTGCAGCGTGGAAAGAGGCTGTTCCATGCTCTCAGCTTGTGCACTCTGGACATTCGGGAGGCAGTTTTGGCTCTGTGACACTTCTGGGTGCTTTGGAGTATCTTGGCAGCTCTGACATGCACTAAATGCCAGTGTATGCTCCCAAATTGTCATTACAACCAGCAGTACTGCTGTGTTGCTCCGGGGTTGTGCTACTGCTCACAGGGATCTAGTTGACTAGAGAGTCTAAGTCATGAACCGGGACTATCATAATCTATCATAGATCAGTGAGCCCATGACGATGCCTGGAGTAGTACTGATTCAAGTGTTTGTTGTCTGTGGCATGGCTTTACGTCCCACATTCAGAAATGTGTACTGTTGAGCACTGCAGTGCGAGTTAACATTAACAAAGAGTAGTTTGCATTTCAGTGTCCTCTCTTTTTCCATAGTGGGCTCGGTATGCTGCAGTTACGCAGGTCATCACACAAACTGCCGAGAATTCTGTCAAGCCATTTTTCGAACCGACTCTTCTCCTGGTCCATCTCAGATCAAAGCAGTGGAAAATTATTGCGCCTCTATTAGTCCACAGTTGATACACTGTGTGAACAATTACACCCAGTCTTATCCCATGAGGAACCCAACAGATAGTAAGTAAATGGGATGGATTTTTTCATCTCCATCTTCAATAAAAAAAACTCACTCAAAAATTGATATATTCATATAGGTGTCTGTGCTCTAGTTCACTTGGGAAACACCAGGATTCCTTTGGTGTTTGGTTTTAACAGGCTAGATGTAATTTTCACAGCTATAAAGTAGCAAGAAAGAAAGATTTGTGGATGAGGAAAAGGAAACTGTTTTGAGGATGGGAGAAGTCTTTGGTATGGATATTTTGATGGGAAATCAGATCATCACCATTAGATTATCAGATAATACCTTTTGACCTGGACAAGAAAACTTACACAAATTTGCAAATAAATAATATGCTGTACATATGCATAGTAGTATATGAGAAAAATTAGAAATTACCGAAACATGCATCAGTAGGCTGCTCATTAAATTATATTTCTGTGCAGTAGCAACACATCACAGCTAACAAAGAAGAGTATGTTTATACAGAAAGTCCAAGGTGTGATAAGAAAATAAAGCAAGTTTCAGAAATTAAAGCATAGTCTAAGTTATACTTAACTGTTCCACTATAATGCTCAAACTTTTATCAATAAGTTCTTACTTTCATAATAAAAAAATCATAAAAATAAGAGAGTAATATTTTTGAAAACCCAAGGCCTTCTAGTGAGCCTGTCCTTGTGGGATCTTCAGAGCACTTACTTTGTCCTAGAATACTTCCTGCCCATCTAGAGGAACCGTATTCTAAAGAACTGAGTAATCAACCAGGCTGGCGAAAGACTAGCTTGTAAGCCAACTGCATGTGTCTTGCTTTATGCTATAATATTGTAATTCTTTTATAATCTTGAAAGTGGTAGGCCTTGTTTGGCCATAATTGAAATCAGATCCAAGGCTTTTGACATTCTGTTATGTGGTAGTGTGGTGAGAATCAGAGATGTGCCTTCATTTGTTTTTAAGCAGATCTATGTTTTCTGACATTTAAACTGCAATGAAGTGTTGCTGGCAGTGAGTAGATAAAAGCTTAAAAAAAAAAATAAGAGGTAGAACAGTGATGTCCAGTGTCTGTTCTAACAGGAATCTAGAAAAGAAGACTTCAAATTGAGCATGTTTCTTCAAATGCAGATACCTGAGGAAATTACTTGAGAGAACCCTTCTGAAGTCTAGCCTGATTGAAAGTATTCTTTCAGTTTCTAGTTCTTTGTAGAAAATTAAAGGCTGGGTGAGTGGAGACATAGTTCACAGGCAAATCATGGCCTATTAGCACGTTTAAGGCCCTGGTTCAATTCCTATCATCAAAAAAAAAAAAAAAAAAAAAAAAAAAAATTAAAGGCAGAAATAAACTAAGATACTGTCAAGGTTCATATTATTTAAATTACAATTACAATGTGTATTAATTAGCTTCTACAGGCTCACAGAAGAAGTCTGTGCTGTCTTGGGGTCTGATTAAATGGAATGTTTATAACTCTGTGGAAACTAGTCATCAGTTTTACATAAAGAGCACAGTCCCCACTAGGCACAAGCAGGAAGTGAGCCCACTTTGATTCTCAAAGTGGTTTACATGAGGGCTTCTTAGGTGTGGGATGACTTTCATTTTGTAAGGTTAGTTCTAGAAAGCTCATGCCTGGGACTGTGGTGAATCTGGGAAGAGAAACATTGCAAGATTTGTCCTGCAGACTGATGGTGAGGACTGAGTAGGCTCTGTATTTCAGAGATGTGCATAGAGGGTTATTGCTTTCCATTTGTTGCCATATTCTCTTCTGAGCAATATATATGGTGAAACATAATAAAGGGCTTATGTCCTGAATGCAGGTTTATATTGCTGTGACAGAGCTGAAGACCACGCTTGCCAAAATGCCTGCAAGAGAATCCTCATGTCTAAGAAAACAGAAATGGAGATTGTTGATGGTCTCATCGAGGGTTGTAAGACCCAACCCTTGCCTCAAGATCCTCTTTGGCAGTGTTTTCTCGAAAGCTCACAGTCGGTTCACCCTGGAGTCACAGTACACCCTCCTCCCTCAACTGGCCTTGATGGGGCTAAATTGCATTGTTGCTCTAAAGCAAACACTTCAACATGTAGGTTAGTATCTATCTCCTTTATTAAAATCAAAAGGAGACAGGATTTTAATTGGTGATTTTGTTTGTTTGTTTTCTAAAATGGTTTCTCTGTGGCTTTGGAGACTATCCTAGAACTCAATCAGTAGACCAGGCTGGCCTTGAACTCACCTGCCTCTGCCTCCCAAGTGCTGGGATTAAAGGTGTGAGCCACCACTGCCCTGCTTAATAAGGGCAAATGTATTATTCTTGTGTTGTCTAGTCTTAGCATTTAGGAGATATAAAATCTGACCTGGGGACTATAGCGCCATGGTAGAGGGCTTAGCAGGTACAAGGCCCTAGGTTCAATCTCAGTACAACAGTTATAAAATCTTTAATTCTTTTTTAAATTTAAAAAAAGTATATTTATTTTATGTGTGACTGTTTTATCTGTACATGAGTGCATGTGGTGCCCGCAGAGGCCAGAGAGGGCATCAGATCCCCTGGAGCTAGAGTTACAGACAGTTGCAAGTTTCCCTGCAGGTGCAGGAACTGAACCAGGGTACCCCGCAAGAACAGTAAGCCTCTCCATCACTAAGCCATCCCACCAGCCCAAAACTTCATTATTTTATTTAGCAAATATTTGCTGAAGACTGTTTAAATCAAGACTCCTGCCACCAAGCCTGATTAATTAATTAAATGATCTGAGTTTTATTCAGCAGATCCACATGGTAGAAGGAAAAACCAGAGTCTCTCAAGTTGTTCTCTTACTGTTACATGTGTGAATGCACATGCACACACAAAAGTAAACATAATTTAATTCTTAAAGTTTTCCTTGCATGTACGCATATGTACCACTTATGTGCCTGGTACCCACAGAGGACAGAAGAGGTCATAGGATCCTGTGGAACTAGAATTCAGCCCCTTCAATTTTGTGATTTTCTTCCTTTCTTCATTCCTTCCTTCCTTTCTTTTTCTTTTTTCTTTCTTTTTTTAAATAAAACTAACACTGTTTTAAACATTAAGTGCTAAAAGCATTTTTTTTTTTTTTTTTTTTTTTTTTTTTGGCAGTACAAAAGATTAGCCAGGCTGATGAGGTGGCTCAGAGGCTAAAAGCACTGGGTGCTCTTGCAGAGGTCCTGAATTCAATTCCCAGCAACCACATGGTGACTCATAACTATCTATAATGAGATCTGGTATCCTCTTCTGGTCTGCAGGGACACGTGCAGACAGAAAATTGTATACATAATAAGTAAATGAATCTTTTAAAAAAAGATTAGCCATTGAAAAGGCAATGCATATTTAAAGATGATGCAATATTAATAAGATCACAGTATGTTGGGCCTGAAGAGATGGCTCAGTGGTTAACAACACTTACTACTGTTCTTGTAGAAAACCTGAGTTTGGCTCCCAACACCCACATTGGGTGGCTCACAACTGTTTGTAACTCCAGCTACAGGGGATCCAGCAAGTGACCTCTGCTGGCCTGTGTATTTATCTTGCTTACATATGTAGACATGTATTTATACATGTAAATAATTATTATGTTTTCAGCTGATATCTAAGAGATAGTCTCTTTATTAGATTACAAAGTTTTGGGACAGGGGGTGTAACTCAGTTGATAGAGTGCTTGCCTGGCATGTGCAAAGCTCTCAAAAGCACATGAACTAGTCATTGTGACACGCGTCTATAATCCCAGCACTCAGGAGGTGGAGACAGGAGGATCAGAGTCAGCCTTAGCTACATACTGGATTCAAGGCCAGCCTAAGCCACATGAGACCCTCTGTTAAAAGGAAGAAACTTTAAATTTAAGTATTTTGTCATATTAGGACAACCTTCGTTATATAGGTATCTGTGTTAGTTGAAGAATTGCATATGTGTTGGTGAGGGCTCTGTGACAAAATATGTGCCATAAATAAATGAGGAAAGATGTGTTTTGGTTCACTGTTTCAAAGGTCTTGGTCCATAGTCCCCTGGATCCATTGGCTTGCTCTGAGGAGAAACAGAAACATCACAGTGGAGGAGGTATGATGGATCACAATTGCTCGCCTAGTGACCTCCCTCCTTCAGCTAGACCCAACCTCCTAAAGTTTCTACTAACTCTCAAAATAGGGTTGCCAGCTATGGACATATCCTCCACTACACAAGCCTGTGAAGGATTATTTCACATCCAAATTATAGCAGCATCACTTGGGTATTATACCTAGAGATAAAAAAAAAAAAAAAAAGATACAAATGTGAACAGAGGAAACTGTAGAGATTTTAAAAAGTGGAGAAACCTAAGATCATGATGAATAGATTTGTCCTAAGTTACTTCCTATTGCTGTGATAAGACACCATGGCCAAGGCAACTAATAGAAGAAAGTTAATTTGGGGCTTAGAATTTTAGAGGTTAGAGCCCATGACCATCACAGTTGGGAGCATGGCAGCAGTCAAGCTTGGTGCTGAAGTAACAGCTAAGAGCTGTTATTGTGAAACACAGTTACCATGTGGAGAGAGATAATGACACGCATCTTTGAAACCTCAGATCCCCTCTCCCCACTGATGCATCTCCTCTAACATGGTTACACCTAATCCTTCCCAATAGTTCCACCATCTGAGGACCAGTATGAGCCCATGGGGGCCATTCTCATTCAAACCATCACAGGGATGTAACAGAACTTGCCTTATTAGAGGTGTTTTGTACAAAAAGGAGCCAAACATAACTACGATAACCTGAAGGGAAAAGAAGACACCATGCATAAAACAATTTTTTAAAAAAAAAATTGAATGGACCATTACAAAAAGAAACTATGCCTAGGATAATCTATCAGACTTTACCAAGGATACAAAAATGTCTAACCAAACTCAATTGAAAGACTTATCTGTAAGTAAACCAAGCCCTGTGGTTATAGACATGGATTCTGTGTAGAAGTTAATAAAAAGGTATAAATGAAAGAGATGCTAAGAAGTTTTTGAATTCCCCCAAAATAAGTTTATGTATGTGTTGAGTTGCTGGAGCATTGGAGCATGGAATGGTTTTTCTTGATGCTTTCTGTTTATTTCTTTCTTTCTTTCTTTCTTTTTTTTTTGCTTTGCTTGTTTGTTTTCAAGACAGGTTTCTCTGTGTGGCCTGGGCTGTCTTGGAACTCACTCTGTAGACCAAGTTAGCCCCAAACTCAGAGATCTGCTTGCCTCTACCTCCCAAGTGCTGGGATTAAAGGTGTGCACCACCACACCCAGTTTTTTGGGGGGTTGAAGAATTTTATTGTTTTTTAACATTTGGAGGGGTCTGCTAAGGTGCATGTGGAGGTCAAAGGACAACATGAGTCATTTCTTTCCTTCTACCATGTGAGTCCCCGGGATTTTCAGCCTTGGCATCAGACTCTTTCACCTGCTGAGCCATCTTAACAACCTGGGTTAGGGAGTTCTGGTTTGCTGAATGCTTTCCATGTCATCAGCTTGATCTTTCTGAAGCCTTATGATATAATTGGGGAAATTTGTATACTTTCTGCTTTAAATGTTAAAAAATAACTCTGAAATGTGAAGAATCTATTCATTGCAAATATAGGAAGTTAAAGGCTAGAGAAAGTACTGGCTTCCTCTTCAAAATGTACAAGCTCCCTTGTGAGCCAGGATCTGGTCTATTTAATACTGCATCGCCAGTGCCTTGAACAAGCACACACATAAGCACATAAAACAGCACTCATGAACACAGGGAGAGTGCACAACAGACTGCAGAGTAAAGATCCCTTCTTTGGGACTGGAGAGATGGTCAGTGGTTAAGAGCACTGGCTTTTCTTCTAGAGGACCCAGGTTCAATCCCCAGCACCCCCATGGCAGCTCACAACTGTCTGTAACTCCAATCCCAGTAGATCTGATGTGCTCTTCTGGCCTCCATTGGCACAAAGCACATACATGGTGCACAGACACATACAGCCAATCATTCATACACATTAACACACACACACACACACCTTCATAGTATTTATGAGTGTCCCATAACTGTGAGGACAGTGGAAAATATTTACTTACAATTCTGTATATTTCAGTGATATCAAGTTTTTATAGTGAACATGTATTACTTTTATAAAAATTAAACTAATGAATTTAGTGTATAAAACTACCAGCATTGCTTTCCTGTGGAAACACTTATATTGCTTTGCAGTCATCAAATCGTGTATCAACTGCAATAATATGTAGAGGTCTTGAGGATCTTAAGGATATAAGTGGTTTAAACAAACTTTAATCTGTAAACACCACCCCCCATTTTTCCCGGTTCTCAGGACTGAACCTTGGATCTTGAGTACCCTGGGCACATAGTCTCACAGAGTTATATCCCTAACCATTAAAGTGCTTCTTTGGAGACAATTCTGCCTCCTGTGATTAGCATAACTAGGGAAGAGTATACCTTTGTGAACAGTGTGCTTTACTTTATGTAAATATGGGAAAAGAAGGAAGATAAAGACATGAGAAAAGTAATTGTACTGGAACTAAGGATGTACAAAACACCTTCAGGGACTGTAAAATATAGTATTTAGCTTTCTATCAGTCATGGCAAAGGGGGTGGATTTTTTTTATTTTTCTAAAATTATTTATTGGGATTTATTTATTACCGGGGTGGGGTGGGGTGGGAGGGGCACACATGCCATGGAATATGTGTGGAGGTCAGAAGACAACTTTGTAGTTCATTCTCTTCTTCAGGTCACCAGGCTTAGGTGGTGAGCTCCTTTACCCACTAAAGCCTCCTCTAAGCCTCATTCTGTCGCATGGATGATTTTTAAAAAATTATACATTGGCTTGTATTTTTTCTTATTTGTGTAGCTGTTTTACCTGCACATATGTCTGTGAACCACATGCAAGCCTGATGTCCTCAGAGGCCAGAAGAGTGTTTTGGGTCCCTTGGAATTGGCACTACAGACAGTTATGGGTTGCCATGTGGGTGCTAGGATCAAATCGGGGTTCTCTGGAAGAGTTCTTAATTGATGAGCCTCTGCCCCAGCTACTCAGGGATGATTTTTTAAAGGCTATTTTTCATGGAGAAGATTACTGGTTTTTGGCTCCATATTCCAGAAGCTAGTTAACTGTACTTTTTTTCTTTATGTTCCTGGAGATAGATAGAGTTAGTAGAATAGGAGTTTTGCAAAGATCGAATACTCATCAGACTTCTCTCTAACATTTGCATTTGTTCTTTTGTTTCAGGGAACTGTGCATGAAACTTTATAGCATGAGCTGGGGAAACACACAGAGTTGGCAAGAGTTTGACCGCATCTGTGAATATAATCCAGTGGAGGTGTCCATGTTGACATGTCTAGCTGATGTCCGGGAACCTTGCCAGTTGGGCTGTAGAAACCTCACTTACTGTACAAACTTTAACAACAGGTAGGAAAAAATATTATACATGAAGATAGAAATACACTATCAAATTTACTTGTTTTAAGTAAATAACACTTTCTGGTGTGCCCTTCTGGGGTAAAAGAAAGGTGTATTTCTTCATGATTTCATCTTGAAATGCTCTGTCCCTTCTACACACCTCTAGAAAGCAAAGTCTCTTTTAACCTAGAGATGCCTGAAGCTTCTGGCATTGAGAAACTATCTGGTGCCTTTACTCCCGTCTTGCTTCTGCCCTGGTGGAAATAGATCACTAGAATGATGTAGTTCTCCAGTTCTGTGCTCTGGACACACTTTTCTGTTCTTTTCAGCCACGAGATGTGGATATGTTCCAGGCTCACATCTTGGCCCCTTCCCCCCACCCCTTACTATCCTTGATAGCTCAGGATACCCTAATTTGAATTGTTCTGTAAAGAAATACCTTTAAATTAAGTAAGTGACTCACTGAGCAGACAATGTTTGCTCCAGTCTGATCTACTTAGTGAATTCCAGGACAGACAGAGCTGCATAAGTGAGATTCTGTCTAGAAAAAAACAGCAACAAAAAGGGATGGTGATTCCTATTAATAAGTATATCACATATGTGAAATTGCTAAGAGAATAGATTTGATGTGTTTGTCACAAAAACAGGACAAAGTATTTGTCCTAATATGTGTTAGTTTGACTTAGCCACTCCACAGTATATACATATTTCAAAACATCATATTGAATGCCATAGAGTTAACAGTTTAAAGTACTTTTAAAAAGGAATGTGTATGAGGCTAGTCCTGCTAAGTATGAATTAAAACTTCCGTGAATGCCTCCTCAGACCCATTAGAATTGCTAGATTAAAAGACTGGCAAGCACGTGAGGTGTGTGGGATTCTCTCTTTTCTCATAGGTAAGTAATTTGGGTTGAATCTATGATCCATCAACTCTATTCTGAAGCATTTATTCAACCGGGAGACATGAAAGCATGTGTCCAAGAAAGTCTCTATGTGCCAGTATTATTTGTAATCTCCCATACTGGGAAAGGGCCCCAAAACATCCATCAGGAGAATGAAAACAATAATAATAGTAACATACAGTGGAATAAAAAAGTCCTAAGAAGCTCAAATATGAATGGACTTATTTCAGCAAAGGAAGCCCAATATTCTCTGTGCTTCCAGACACATGAAGTCTAGAATAAGCAAAAGCAGACTGTGCAGAAAAGGACCAGAAAATCAGGAGCATCAAGAAACTCCAGCATGATAGAAATGGTCTATATTGTGTGCAGTTCTTGTTTTGTTTTTTGGGGTGTGTTTGTTTTTGAAACAGGATCTCACTCTGTAGCCCTGGCTGTTAAGGAACTCACTATGTAGACCAGGTTAGCCTCTACCTGTCTCTGCCTGCTGAGTGCTGGAACTAGAGATATGCACCACCCACCACACCAACTTGTATAGGGTTTTTAATTACATTGCTGGATATAGTCTCCAAACCTTGTTGAACTAAATTCTCAATCTGTACATTATAATGTATATGATTAAACTCTAGTAAGTTTGTTTTTTATTTGTTTGAGACAAGCCCAGGCTTGCCTCAAACTAGCTAAATATCTGAGTCTGACCTTGAACTCTTCATCACCTTGCCTCTGCCTCCCAAGAACAGGAATGCACCATCATGCCTGGCTTTAAAGTAGTGTTTTATATAAATTCAATTAATTAATTTGTTCCTCATCAATACCAGACAGTAAAGAGAAAAACCATGACCTAGTAAAAAATATCTATACTACATATGTCTGACAAAGGGCATCTCTATAATGTATGTAGAACCCTTACAAATCCTAAATAATCAAAGTTTCAACTTTTATTTTAAGTTTCTTTTATGTGTCTGAGTATTTTGCCTGCCTGTATCTGAGTATCATGTACATGCAGTGCCCTCGGGGGCCAGGAGAGGGCATCAGATCTCATGTAACTGAATTACAGATGGTTTTGGGGCACCACATGGATGCTGGGAACTGAACCTAGGTTCTCTGCAAGAGCAGCCAGCTCTCTTATTACTGAGCCATTTCTTCAGCCCTCAACTTTTCTTAAAATGTAATTTCTTTATTGATTCTTCAAGAATTTTACATCATACACCCCAATTTCACTCATTTCCTAATCTCTCCATATTTACCCTTCACCCTTTTAGTATCCTCCCCTTCAAAAAAAAAAAAGAAAGAAAAAAAAAGGAAAAAGAAAAAGAAAGAAAGTAAGAAAGACAAAACAAACAGAAATAATTGTTTTGCTCTTCCATCTTTCCTGCCTCTCCAACACCTTTCCGTTTGTCTTGGTGGCATTGGGAGCAACTGTGTGTCCTGCAGTCCTACCTGCTTTGCTTGCAAATGTTATTGCAGTGAGTCCTGGTCTGGTTCAGGCCTCTGGTGTCTGATACACAATCATCACCGGACCCTGTCTGGAATTCCTCTATGATATTCCTTGACCACCCCCCGGTCATGGAGATCCTGTGGGCATCGTTCCTCAGGACCAGTCTTTCATATGCAGCATTAGGCTATAGATACAGCCCTCAACTTTTTAAAGGGGGCAGAAAAAAAGTATTTCACAAAAAGTAACATTTATTAATAGATCATTTCTAATAATAAAAAGGAGTAAAATACTCGTATATACAACAACATGGGGTTAAATCTCAGAAAGATTATGTTTTGATGTCTATTCCAGGCCCCCCAAATAGAGTAAGAGTTCACTTATATGAAATTCTAGAAAGTAATTTGTGATGTTCTATGTATGAGGAGCATAGATTATGGGGTAATCTGACAGGACACAGGGGAACTGTTTGGTGTAATAGAAATGTTATAATAGATTTACTTGTTTTCTATGAGCTATACTTGGCAAATCATATCAAATTTATATTCTGTGCATTTTGTTTTTTTATTGTACCTCAGTTTTTGTCTTGGTTTGGTTTGGCTTTGCTTTTCGAGACAGGGTTTCTCTGTGTAGCTTTGGAGCCTCTCCTGGCACTCTCTCTGTAGACCAGGCTGGCCTCAAATTCACAGAGATCTGCTGGCCTCTGCCTCCAGAGTACTGGGACTAGAGGCCTGTGCCACCACTGCCCAGCTTATACCTCAGCTTTAAAGCCACAGACTCATTTATTTTGTGAAAGAAAATGAGATGGTCTGGGAATGTTAGTTCTATCCAAAGCACCTTGAAGTTTTAAAATGCTTCATAAGAGCCTATGTTAAATTAAAATATGGAGTCAGTGTCTTGATGCTAATGTCCACATTGAGCTTCAGGTGCTTGAAGCCGAAAGCCTATGATGGCTTGTACGTACTCTCTCTTTAAGAAAATCAATTTTTTGTGATGTGTGAATTTATCAAGATATTACTCATTCTATCTAGAAAATAATCTACCTCAATTCCTTCTGAACTTTTTTTTAGGCCAACGGAACTTTTCAGGAGCTGTAACGCTCAGTCTGATCAGGGAGCCATGAATGACATGAAGCTGTGGGAGAAAGGAAGCATCAAGATGCCCTTCACCAGCATCCCTGTCCTCGATATTAAAAAGTGCCAGCCAGAAGTGTGGAAAGCAATCGCCTGCTCGCTGCAGATTAAGCCTTGCCATAGTAAATCCCGAGGAAGCATCATCTGCAAGTAGGTGACTGGGGGCGGGCTCAGACCCTCCCTAATCTCTAGCAGAGCCTCTCTTTAGAGTTTCCTCCCCTTTGCCTGTGCCCCTCCCCCCAGGGCAATGCTTTCACACTTTCTCCTCTGCTTTCTTCTTGGTGCTGTCAAATACCAGACATTCCTATGGAATCTTCCCACATTCCTGTGGTTAATACTAATTTATTCTTAGTGCAAATTCCCATAGAACTTTATGTGTACTTTACTATGGAATCTAGTTTAAGAAGAAGTTTCTAAGTACTTTCAGTGCAGTTATGTTTTATACTTTACATTTTTATTACATTTATTCATTTGGTGTGTGTTCATTTGCAAACCTGTCACAGAGCATATGGGTATCAAAGGACAACTTGAGGGGGAGGGGATGTTCAGAGAGTCCCAGCAGGCACCTTCAACAAGCCATCTTGCCAGCCCTGTTTTTACATTTTTAAAAGTACTTTTATGTTTAGGGAGACTATGAATGAATCCAGCACCTCAGTTAGAGTAGGGCAACTTCCAGGGATCAAGCTTAAGTTGTTCTTGAGGCTTGGTGGGCAGTGCCTCTGCCCACTCTGCTGCCTCCAGCTCTATAGTTTTAACTGTGTTCTATTGTATTGTTTGGCTTAGGAATTTACTTTCTGTGCAATGTCTTTTTTTCCTCTTTGCTCTTTCCCCTTTGCAGCCCCTGTTATATTTTTGTTATTATCCTAGCACACAGTAGATCTTCTGTGAATGCTTGATGAGTGAGAGTTAGTGAAGAGTCACTGGGTCCTGTTCCTACTAAACAGTAGGAACAGTTTTGAATGGTTTCCTTGGGAAGTCTAAGACAAAGTCAAGATGATGGCTTCCCCAGCCGATGAAAGTAGGGTGCTAACTACACAGTACCTCACTGTTCTTCAAGCATCTGTTCTCTTTTCCAAGACCAAGTTGATACTGAGCCTAACCCTTGTGTGTGTGGCTCAGTACTGCTCAGTTCAGATTAACAAGGTCCAGATCACTTTTGTTTTTTTCTTATCTGGTTTAGTTTTGATTTTGGAGTCCTACTGTGTCACTCTGTAGTCCAGGCTGGCCTTGAACTCATGGCAGTTCCCTGTCTCAGCCTCCTGAGCTCTGGGATTACAGACATGAGCTGTGATGCCCGGCTTCTGATCAGTCTCTGACATGACTCAAACATGACCTGAGTAAGGGAGAAACTGAGGTGTGACTCTGGGATGACAAGCCAAAGGCCACAGATTTAAATATGTACTCTTAGAAAGCTTTCAACTCAAGACTAAAGGAAAAAAAGTAAAGGTTTGTTTATTTGATATTTATGAATGTTATGCCACCAGGCGGTGGTGGCACATGCCTTTAATCCCAGCATTTCTGAGGCAGAGGCAGGTGGATCTCTGTGAGTTCGAGGCCAGCCTGGTCAATAGAGCAAGTACCAGGACAGGATAGGTTCCAAAGCTACAGAGAAACCCTGTCTCAAAAAACAAAAATACAAAACAACAAAATAAATTTTTTTGTATGTGAATGTTTTGCCTACATGTGTGTATATGCACCACATGTGTGCCCGGTGTTCACAGAACTGGGTACCTCTCTGGATGCATACATACCTCAGAAGAAGACATTGAATCCTCTAGAAATCAGGTTACAAATGGTTTTGAACCATGTAGGTACTGGGAACTGAACCCATGTCCTCTGCAAGAGCAACAAGTGCTCTTAACTATGGAGCTATCATTTTAGCCCGTAGACTAAGAAAAAAAGTTGTGAACTATCTGGTTATTAAAAACCAAACACCTTAGTGCTGATAACTAAAGTTATTAAAATGAGAAAGAGAGAAAAGGAAGCAACTGACCCAGGACCCTAAGAATAGGATACAGTTTTAAGCAGACTGGCCTAGCTCGGTTCCTCTTAAAGGTGGTAGAAGCTACGCCATGCTTGGAGCGGTAACTGTGAATTTTGAACAAGGCCTTTGATCTCAGATTACAGGAAGTTAGGCTTTGGATTTACAGTGTAACTAGAAGTTCAGCAGCTTGGTAAATAGTAAAGACAACTCCAGAGAAGCTTCAGAAACTGTTCTGACCAGACAACAGGAGGCAATACCGTGAACCCACCATGTGCATGCGTTCTTTTAAGGTCAGATTGTGTAGAGATTCTCAAGACATGTGGAGACCAGAACAGATTCCCTGAAGACCACACGGCTGAAAGTATTTGTGAGTTCCTGTCCCCTGCAGATGACCTGGAGAACTGTATACCTCTGGACACATACCTCAGTAAGTACTATGTAGGTTTGTTCTTAGAGTTCACGTGTGTCTCTCATGCTCTCTGCCCTTGCTCTTCGCTTTGGGTGAGAACCTGTTGTTTGATGATGCCATCTGCATTGGCTACTGTTCTTGTTGCTGTGACAATAAACAAGTAAACACCATCAAAAGCATTTGAAGGGAAGAAGGGTATATTTGGCACAGTTCAAGGGTACAGAGGCAGCATGGCAGCTGGATGTGAGGCAGGAGCATCTGACATTGGAAGCAGACAGGCAGGTGCTCAGCTCACTTCTTCAGTCCCGGGCCCAGCTGATAGCACGGGGCTGTCCAATGGGGCAGTCAAATCTCTCACCCAGGAGTCCAGAGTTTGGTCTCCTAAGTAATTAAATCCTATCAGGTTGGCATTGTCATCTTAAAAATTGTAAGCAGAGATTGTGTTTTATCTTTCGGAGGAAGTATGATGAGCTGTTCACCAGTCGGAATTCTAAGGATCAAAGTGGAGTACAGCATTCTCAGAAATCATTAGGTATTTCTCATGATGTGACCAGAAAATGGAATTTCCCCTAGAAAGCTGTCATCAGGACCTGAGCCAGACGTGGTGTGGGCTTATTTACACAATAGAGAAGACAGAGCTATCTCCTGAGATCGTAAAGGGAAGTGGAACTTGCCTCCATACTTCAGCTTCTTCCTGCCAGATATTTCTGCCAAGAACTTGGTAACCTCATTGAGGAATTAATTGTAGAAGGGGTTCCTTGTTAGCATTGAGACCAATGCAGGGATAAACTAGTGTTTGGGCTGCCACCAGGGGGCAGCAGTACCATAAACTGGCTGGCCAACAGAAAGGCCAGCTTGCTTACTTTTCCCCTTAGGATTAATCCCAACTGCCAATAACAGAACAGAAGAAAGCACAGGGAAGCCCAAAATCAAGTAGTACAGGATGTTTATGGTGGCACCAATCCGGTCAGCTTTCCTTCATATGCTTTACTTTCATACCATGACACTTTACCCAGCTTACTCTAGTTAGTAAACGAGAAGAAAGAAGAGCAGCTTCTCCTTAATCTTAGAGGCCATGACGGGAAATCCTTTTAGCTCTGGGCCCTTTACCACCCTGAATAAAATTAAGACCATATTAACAAAGAAGAAGAAAGTATGGTGAATTTGTAGAGATGGCAGTATCTGTTAGATTCTCTTAAGATAAAGAGACCATGTCCCCTAACTTTTGTGACCAGTACTGAAAAAAGAGCATGCTGGGTGGGAACCTCTGTGGCCGTGGGAAGATCACCTTGAGTTCCTGGTAAACCTGGACAGAATGGTGGGGCTGGGTGATGTGCTCCCATAGCCTCTGTCTCAGCTGAGTCTCAGAATCTGAGTGGGGCTGAGAATCAAGTTAAGTGAACTGGTGTGTTTGTGATCCTAGCCACTTAGAGCAGTCAGGTATGTGTAGGAGGAAATGATTTCAGCGGGAGGGAGACCCAAGGATGCTCTGGTCTGAATAGCAGTGCTCGCTTTAAATATCACAAGTGCTTGAAGTGCTACTCTTCCTGGACAGGATGTTGGAAGGAAAAGATAATTGTGTTCTGAGGCTCATGTTGATGTAACAGATTACCATATATTGTTGTTTAAAGTGTGAAAGTATCCTTCTTACACATAAGCACATATTTGATGACCACACCCCAAGTATGTCTCATTTCTGAACTACTCCCTACTTAAGTTATGAGTTCATCTCACTTTCATTCAGATATTAGCTCCATGTTAGCTTATCTGTTTTGTCCATTACTGTATCTGGTACCCAGGATCTTCCATTAATAAATGCATGATTGGATTGTTGTGATAAACTGATGAATTATGAGGAAATCCATTGCTTAGTTGGGGCTTGTCAGAATCAGGTCTTGTAAGCTCTCCATTTATCCCGGCTGTGATAAAGCCAGATAACTTGGAGACCTGATATTCTTTTAGATTGGTTACACTGATCTGTTCTGGGTTCTTCAGGGCCAAGTACTTTAGATAGCATCATAGAAGAAGTGACTCATCCCTGTAACCCGAATCCTTGCCCAGCCAATGAGCTCTGTGAAGTGAACCGGAAAGGGTGTCCATCTGGAGACCCCTGCCTTCCATATTCTTGTGTTCAAGGTAAGGGATAGGGGCTGTGAGTGTGAGGGTCTTTTTCTGTACTTTGTTTTCCTGTAATGTTTAAATGTTTGCCACTAAAAATGTGTTTATTCAAACAAAGACACATAGAATTTTCAGTTATCATTTCAATTGTAAACTAATGCTCTCAATACAAGTTACAGGGTTCTTGACTACAGAAGAAAAGACAAGCTTGAGCCAACTTTTTATGCCTTCTCTTCTGTTGTGTACTGTTTGAAAAACAGACTATCCATTGTTCATGGTTTTCTTTTCTGTAGCACATGGAAGGATGTCATGACACTGGTCATCTCTGTAAGGTTAACATGTGCTGTGGATGTAGCTCTGCGGGAAAGTGTTTGCCTAATGTTGAAAACCTTGGACTCATTCCCCAGCACCACAAAAACAAAATAGCCTAAGTGTGGGGGTGCTTGTCCCACTGCTTGGGAGGTAGATGCTAAAGTTTCAGGAGTTCAAGGTTATCCCACAATACAGAATGGATTTGAGGCCAACCTGAGCAACATGAGACCCTATTTCAATGAAAAATAAGATTAATGTCATGTTGAAATGCATACAAATAGCTGGGTGTGGTAGTGCACCCTCTTAATCCCAGCAGTTGGGAGGCAGAGTCAGGTGAATCGCTGTGATTTTGAGGCCAGCCTGGTCTACAGAACTAGTTCCAGGACAGTCAGGGCTACATAGTTGAGATCATGTCTCAAAAAAAAAAAACCATTAGAAATGCATAAAATAATTGTTTTGTTTCATATATCAGTGAGCCACTTGAGGCCCTTGCACACTAAAGGGATGTGCTCAACCACTCAGTGACATTTTTAACCCCTGAAAAATGTAACTCATAGAATTTTGATTAGTCTGTATCTCTGTTACTTGTCCTGGTATAGTTGTAGTAACATTGTGATTCTTTTGATTCTATTTCTGTGTTGGAGATATTTACCATGTTAGAATCAACATTTTAAAAAATCTTAGAAGTAAAAAGGAGCACAAAATGAACTAAGTGTACTTGAGTACCATGATAATGTGCCAGTTACCAAGTTGTGATGAGTTTAGCTAAACCTCAGAGTGGTGTTTCATGTCCATTGACACTGTATTATAGTTTAGCCAGTAGTATTTTCTTTACCAAGAAAATGGAATAACAGTGACTATGGTAATTAATGTATTCTACATTATGTAACATGCAACAATTCGGAATTGTTTTGTTACTCTCAGAAAGCCCATTTTATGATAAATTAAAAATTTATTACCTAGAAAATGGGTTTTCCTTAAGCCCATCCAAATACTCACTTGTTCTTTGAATTTATAGTTGTATGCTTAAGTTCATTACTAAAAATTGCCCTAAAAATAGTCAGTTTATGTACTTCATTTAAAACATTTTGTCATTTTTCAATTATGTTTAGCCCAAAGAAATAAAAGCTATATGTTTGTCCTTTCCTTGTTTGTTTTTTGATAAGGTTTTACTACATAGCAGCCCAAGCCATCCTCCTGTCTTAGCTTTCCAAGTTCTGGGATTGCAGGTGTATACTACTATGCTTGGCCAATTCTATGTAGCTTCATAATATTTTTGTACTAGACTGTAGCTAACTTTGGAGTACAAGTCTTTAATTACCCATAGAAGATGGAATTTTTTTGAGAGGATATATTTTTTTGGTCAGTGAGCAAAAGTAATTGCTTAATTTGGTAAATGTTCTATAATATAATGTTTCAAAAATATTTACTTTTATGTGTTTGAGTCTTTTATCTGCATCTATTTATGTGCACCATGAGAGCTCAGGACCCAGAAAAGTCAGAAGAGGATGTTGGGTCAATTGGAGTTACAACATGTGGTGTCAGGAAGTGAACCTGGGTCCTCTGATAGAGCAGCCAGTGCTCTTAACTCCTGAGTCATCTCTCCAGCTCTGTGACATAATCTTACAACCTTTAATAACAACACAGTCCTAGAAGAGTTCTGTAAAGTGTGTGTAATGTGAAATGTTGTCATAGAACAGTATTATCAATTCAGTTTTTGGTTTTGTTTTTATTTTTGTACAGGCTGCAAGTTGGGAGAAGCTTCTGACTTCATTGTCCGTCAGGGAACACTGATCCAGGTGCCATCCTCTGCAGGGGAAGTTGGCTGTTACAAGATCTGTTCCTGTGGACAAAGTGGCCTCTTGGAAAACTGTATGGAGATGCACTGTATCGACCTCCAGAAGTCTTGTATTGTTGGAGGAAAAAGAAAAAGTGAGACTTGAGCATATTCGTGTTTGGTCTTACTACAGTGTGAGATTGCTTGTCTTCACTTTGCACAAAGAATATGAGATGAGTTCTTGCTAAAGAGTACAATCTATACATCATATATTCTAGGACAGTACTTTTCCAACCATACAGTACTCTCTGTGGTGTGTGTGTGTGTGTGTGTGTGTGTGTGTGTGTGTGTGTGTGTGTGTGTGTGTGTGTGGTATTTTGTTTGAAACAGGATCTTGTTTTGTAACTCAGGCAGCCTGAAGCTCACTACATAGCTCAGATTGGCTTTGAACTACAGTAATCCTCCAGTCTCTGTCTCCTGGTGATGGGATTACAGACTACAGTAATCCTCCAGTCTCTGTCTCCTGGTGATGGGATTACAGTCAAGGACCACCATAACCAGCAAGTAGTAGGACTTGTAAAGAGCCCTTTTGGAAGCCTCCCAGGAAGGGTCTGCTTGTTAATCTCAGTGAACTCTGACTGTGTGCCAAGCATAATGCCAAGCTTGTCCCACATCATCTCTTTTCATTTCTGAGTTCCTCCTTATGTGTGTATTGTTATTATTGCCCCTAATTCACAGCTGATGCCCATCCAGTCTCCCTGCTAGTCACTGGGGCTCATGCCTGTAATCCCAGCACTTGGGAGACTGAGAGGATTTCTCTGAGTATCAGGACACCCTAGATGACAGAGTGAGCTCCAGGCCAGCCTTAAATACATAGGGAAACTTGGATTGGGAGGAGGGGATGATCAGGGGACAATGAAAGGTTTTAAGAATGTACTACTGCCTTATAGACATGAGATCTCTATGAGTTTGAAGCCAGTCTAGTGTGCATAGCAAGCTCCAGAACAGCCAGGGCTACACAATGACACCTTGTCTAAAAATAAATGTCTCAGCTTTAAACCCCATTTATGTGTTCAGAAATCATCTTTCAAGAATTGATGTAAAACTTTTTGAGAGGCTTGAGGGATAATTCATTTGGCAGAACACTTTGAGACAACTTATTTTTGATTTCCCTATAACCCACATAAGATTGCTGGGCATAGTGGCATACACTTGTAATCCCAGTGCTGAGGAGACAGAGACACAAGCCTGACATCCTGCGTTTTGTCCCAGGACATACTGTGAGAACCAGCTCTGAAAAGCTATGCTCTGACATGTGCACCCACACACGCAGTAGTAATAGATTTTAAATTGTTTAAACTTTCAAACAAATGTAATATATATATATATATATATATATATATATATATATATAGTGTGTGTGTGTGTGTGTGTGTGTGTGTGTGTGTGTGTGTGTTTGTGCCACAGCATATCTGTAGATGTCAGAGAACAACCTGGGAGAATTGGTTCTCTCCCTCTAGCATGTAGGTCCTGGGGATTGGATTCAGGCTTGCCACAAGCATCCATACCCACAGAGCCATCTCATATTCCTTAGTCTACTTCTTAGTGCATGATTGGTGTTTTCTCTCTTTCAGGTCATGGAACATCCTTCAATATTGACTGCAATGTCTGTTCTTGTTTTGCTGGCAATTTAGTGTGCTCCACCCGTCTCTGCCTCAGTGAGCACAGCTCAGACGATGACCGCCGCACCTTCACAGGTAGCCACAGGCATGGGCATTCAGAGCCCGCCCTCCAGGGGCCATTGTTCTTATCATTCTTTGCACTCAAATTCTCTGCTAGGCAGTGTAGGAATTGCCCTAACTGCAGTTGTACATAGTAACACTAGTGTCAAATTTGAGCGAAGGATACCATCCTCTCTGGCTCTCTGCTTCTTCCTGTTTGAAAAGGAACCCATGTGCAGCCCTACTGAGGTAGTCTAAGGTGTCTGTGTACTTTCTAGATTCGTGTTCACATCGGGTTCTTTCTCAGCCTTCCTTATCCACTGATTTTCATAGGCTCCCACAAACAGTCCCAGCATCTGGGAGACAGGCAGACTGATCTCTGTGAATGAGTTCAAGGCCACCCTGGGCTACATGAAATTGATCCAGTCTAAAAGAGAAACAGAGCCAGTACTTGGGAATCATATACCTTTAGTACCAGCACTAGGGAGGTGGAGACAGGAAGGGATATGGCTGGGCAGAGAGAGGAATATAAGGCAGGAGGAGACAGGAACTCATTGCATTCTGTCTGAGAATTCCTAGATCACCCTTTGGTCTGAGGATTCTGCTTCTCTGATCTTTCAGCATTTACCTTTATATCTGGGTTTTTAATATTAAGACCAATTAGAATTTGTGCTGCAGGTTTGTCTTGTTTTTGTTTTCACGCCCCCCCACTCCCAAGTTAAGTTACAATTCCATTTTAACATGGTTTGTTAGCAGTTTGCCTTCATCAAGACATGGAAGGGAGTATATGTTTATTTCAGTCTGTTTCCCCACTTCAGGTCTGCCCTGTAACTGTGCAGATCAGTTTGTCCCAGTGTGTGCACAGAATGGACGCACTTACCCCAGTGCCTGCATCGCCCGCTGTGTGGGTCTCCAAGACCATCAGTTTGAGTTTGGGCCTTGTATCTCCAAGGATCCCTGTAATCCTAACCTCTGCCCCAAAAGCCAAAGGTAAGTTCAATGCTACTTCGTTTCCTCAGACGAAGACTAGTGCCTATAAACTCTCTGTGTGCATGCCCCACATGATAAAAATACAAAGGTGGATTAAGAAGTAGTGTGTCTCGTGTATGTAATCCCAGCACTTGGGGCACTGAAGCTGGAGAACTCTGAGTTCATGGTCATTCTGTGCTACATGCTAAGATGTTTCAAGAAAGAAAGTTATCTCTGTCTGGAGAGAAAGAGCTGCATAGAGCTCCCTGGCTGCATGATTAGGAGTACAGACGTAGAGCAATGTATGCAGGGTGGGAAGGGCCTCAGAGGTGCTCAGAGACACACTGAGCTGAATCTGTGGCAAGCAGAAGGGTATGGAGGAAAGCTGGTATAGTGACAGCAGATGGCAGCAGGAGCAGAAATGCATGCTGGGAGTTCCAGGGGTTCTGTAAGACTGAAAAAGTAAGGCAAGGGCAGGCAGCAAAAGAGATGGGAGAAATGGATGCATTTGTTTCTACTACAGCACTCATTGTAGGACTTAGACATGAGAAATCTCAGAAACTGCAGCTTTAGCATTATTTGATGTCATTTGGCTTTAGACTCCCTTTTCTGTAGTCTCACTAAGCCAGATGACAGTGACCTGGCCTTGATGGACTTCTACACTGCATGTGGCGGTCCCCAGACAAGTGTGACTGACTTAGATTTCAGCATTCTGGACCTGCAGTGGTCACCTTTGAGACGAGCAAGCCTTGTCCCAGAGTCATAGCTCGCTCTTGATGAAGGAGTTTGTGCAGAAAGTTGGTCTTGAAAAGTCTGGCACAGAATAAAAGGGAGATTTTCTTATGTAATGAAGTGACAAATGATCAGCCACATGTCTGTTAAAGTTCATTGTTCCAGTTTCACTTCTGTTGCTGTGATAAAGCACCCTGAGCACAAAAGCAACTTTGAGAAGAAAAGGGTTTGCTTGGCTCTGAGTTCCAGGTTACAGTTCATTACTGCAAGGAAACCAGGGCAGAAACTTAGAGCGTCAATCTGCAGGCAAGAGCAGAGGGAGTAACTGTCTGCACTGCCCGCTCGCTGCTTCTTAGACCCAGGGACACTGTTCAGGGCCCAGCACATGAATTGGTGGCCCAGCACACTTGGGGTTGCTCCTCCCACTCTAACAGTCAACACAGTCTCCACAGACATGACCGCAGGCCAGCGTGGTCTAGGTCATTCCTCTTGCAAGTGGTTTTTGGTTGTGTCAAGTTGGCAGTAAAAACCAGCATCACATCCATACAGCTGAAACAAAACTTAGCATTTACTGGCTGATATCCTGGATAAGGTTGTCTTGTTTTACATCTCCAAAGTGGAGAGGCTTTTCTGGATAGATTGACAGTATAGAAGAAAAATTTGAAAATTTCAGCTACACAAAAAAGTACATTTTTGGTGGGCATGGTAACAGATGACATATTGGGAACAATATCACAGAGAAATAACCCTGACAAATCAATATGAGGAATACCATCTTACTGTGGAAACTGTTGAGCAATAATAGCTTCATAGAAAAAAAATGACAAGGAAACACAGAAAAAGGAATAGAAGTGGCTCTTAAACATTTGGGGGTTGGTGGTTTGACTGTTTGGCCCACAGGGAATGGTGCTATTAGGAGGTGTGGCCTTGTAGGAGGAAGTGTGTCACTGTGGGGGCTGGCTTTGAGCTCTCCTATATGTTCAAGCTACACCCAGTACACAGTTCACAGTTCTCTCCCTGCTGCTTGCAAATCAAGATGTATATCTCTCAACTCCTTCTCCAGCACCATGTCTGTCTGCATTCTGCCATGTCCCACCATCATGGCAATGGACTAAACGTCTAAAACTGTAAGCCCACCACAATTAGATGTTTTCTTTTATGAGTTGCTATGGTCATGGTGTTTCTTCACAGAAATAGAAACCCTAACCAAAGCAGTGAAAGCAGTGAGAATGTGTTTGGCTTTTTTTTTTTTTTTTCCTTCCTGGTTTCAAACAGGGGACAGAAATATGTTCCTTTATTAAAGTTTAAGCAACTCTATTATATACAAGTCACTAAATTCAGTTCTTCCGTATAGTAGATTAAGCGAAGCCCACTGGCACAGTCAGCAGGCTGCTCCATTGCTACTCCTTAGAGATGGGGTCCTCTGGCAGTGACTCTGCCATCTCCATCACTCCTTTACATGCCCTGCTTCTGGCGAGCAGAGAAGAGAAGGGAGATGGTGGAGAATGTTCTTGAGAAGCCTTCATGAGCCACCTGAAGAGGTGACATCATCATTACTATTGCCAACCACATTCCACTGTCTAGAGCTCAGTCACTCGGCTCAGCCAGCCTCCAGGGGAGACCAAAGAATGCAATCTAGATGTATGATCCAGAGAAGACTAAGTGAATTTTACCAACATACACCCAGTTAGGACCAACTTTTAATCTTCCTCATAATGCCAGAAATGTAAATTAAATTGAAACTATAACTATGTGCCACTTTGCATCTGTTGAATTGGCAGACCAAAAGTTGATAACATAAATTTAGGAAATAGATACTGTCTTATAAGAGGGGCTGGAAGAGGGTTAGTATATTCTCTCGGGGGGGGGGCATACAATTTGGCCCAAGCCAAATTAAAATTAAAATTTTATGTGGATGAATGTTTTTCGCCTGCATGAATGTCTATGTACTATGTGCCCTCAGATGCCAGAGGAGGGCATCAGATCTGGAACTGGAGTTACAGGCAGTAGTTACAACAGCCATGTGGGTGCTGGGAATTGAACCTGGCCCCTCTGAAGAGATGTCTCTCAGTCACTGAGCCGGGTCTCCAGCCTCCAATGTTCAGACCTGCTCGTTACCCTCCAGGCTCCAGTTAGAACACCCTCTTCAATGTGTCCCCAGGGCTCAGTACTCAGCCATTCATTCATTTTCTGTTCTGACTGTCCTCTCCATATACTCCATTAACCCTGTCTCTCTCCTAGGCTGCCTGTGCCACCCTCAGCCAGGACGTTACTGCCCCCCAGTCACTCCATGCTTCTGGTTCATCTGCTGGCTTTCATCGTGTTTGTTTTTGTTTGTTTTTGTTTTTCAGATGTGTGCCAAGACCACAGGTTTGCCTGACAACTTTTGATAAATTTGGATGTAGCCAGTATGAGTGTGTGCACAGACAGCTCACCTGTGAGCAGGTCCGAGACCCTGTGTGTGATACAGACCACATGGAGCACAGCAACCTCTGCACTTTGTACCAAAGAGGAAAAAGCCTCTCTTACAGAGGCCCCTGCCAGGTATGTCATTTGGCTGCCAAACCAGAGGGAATGGGCCCAAGTTAGCTTTTGACCCTTTCCAGACCGGCACAGTGCAGTCCTGTCCAGAGAAGGGAGTGATGTGGCTAGCTCGGGATTAGTGTCAGGAGGCACGGGGAAGCAAGCGGACCCTGACTTCAAGCTACTCCTAGGAAAAGACTTAAGGCTTCACATCCAATATGGTCACCACCATTCATCTGTCCACAGTTCGTGAGCTGTCATAGAAAACAAATCAGGAAGAAAAGCGGTCCCACCACTCATCCCCCCCCACTTCCTACTTCCCTTCTGCCCCCCACTGTGTTGAAGTGAGGTGAAAATCTCTACTACATGTTTTACATGGGCCTAACTCAGTCTTTTAGGCTTGTGAAATCTGCCTCCACTTAAGTAACCTTACGGACAGCCTCCTTGGAGCTTCCCACCAGCCTCCCTGATTCTGTATTGACCGCTCTGCTGGGATATTCCCATCTTTGGGCCCAGCATCACCTGCCTGCAAGCCACTAACACCAGACATACTTTTTGTCCATGGAGCGTCCCTTATCTGGCTACTGTTTTCTCTTGGAGCTGGTGTAACACTTACACAGACACCATCTGCTGTAACTGCCACCCTTCTCTCCATTCTTGCCCACTCCTCAGCTAGGTGTTTCTCAGGGAAATCCCTAACCACCTAATAGGAACGGGGTATGTCTGTTCCACTCATTGCTCTACCCATCCCTCCCTTTCCCACACCCGGCATGACATGGTGAGGTCTCCTCCTCCTTTAAATGAAGAGGAAGTGATCTTTTTATTCAGACCTTCTTGACCACTAAGAGAAGTCTGGGTGAAGGAATGGCAAGGGATATTTTTACCTTGTATCTGTCTCAGAATGATCACCCAAATTTCAAAGACTTTTAACTTGAGACAGCTTATTCCTTAGTCTACCTCAAGGGCTTCAGAGGCTCCCCAGAACTTATGCCCATGTCTTTTCACTTCCTGAAAATAGGGAGGTCAGCTCTGTGCTCACAATTAGAAAGATACCATAGGAGTTTCCAGGCTAAAAGTTACTCATTTTTCCTCAGCCCTTCTGCAGAGCCACGGAGCCTGTTTGTGGCCACAATGGTGAGACCTACAGCAGTGTGTGTGCTGCGTACTCGGATCGTGTGGCAGTTGATTACTATGGACCCTGCCAGGCTGTCGGGGTCCTCTCTGAACACAGTGCTGTGGCAGAGTGTGCTGCTGTGAAGTGTCCTTCACTCTCAGCCATTGGCTGCAAACCCGTCATTCCACCTGGTAAGCTGGGGTGTCTGGAGTTGGCAGGGGTAGGACCAGAAGTATTTAATCCACCCCAGGATATGAGCCATTGAGAAGAGAGTTCCTGAGTCTGTAAACTTGGAAAAGCTGTAATCCTGGCACTCAGAAAGGTAGCCTGTGACATAGATGCTCAGGGATACAGAATAAGACAAAAAATTAAAAGTTCAGGACACCCTCATGCTGACTGCTCTGAGCGAACTCCAAAGCTATGGATTATCTTAGTGTTTGCTCTGCTGACATCAAAACAGCTTGGCAGTGGCTGGAGAGCTGCAACAATACAGTGGCTCACAACCATCAGTCACTCAGTTCTAAACCCTTGTCAGACTCTTCTGACTTCCTCTGGCACCAAGGTCACACGTGGTACACATACATGCATACAGACAAAACACGAAAAATAAAGGGAATGGATCCAATTTTAGAATTAAAAATAGACACAACAGCCTGTCAACCCTTTTCAATCAAAATCTTACATCAGGCATTAATATGTAAGCAGATAAAGTAGTTTTTAAATTAAAAATTTAGGATTACTGGATTAGATGCATACATTTACGTTAAAGTACCTGAACAGTTAATTAGTAGTTGAATGGATAATTGAAGTGTTTTGATGAACACAAACATTTGTAATTGAGAGAAGCAAGGAGAGTTGATTTAGTTGTGTAGCCAGAGGCTCTGTGAGCATCAGTGTTTATGGACAGTGTATGTTACGCTCACGCTCATCAGTGAGGCAGGCAGCGGTGGGAGCTCATCTGCGACTCACCGGGCCTCCACTGTGTTCAGGACATGCTTCTAAGCACCAGGGACCCAGTGGTTAACAAAATGAACCCTCTTCCCTCCTGGAGACCACGTTCCAAGGGAGGGGGCATAGAGTCCCTGCAGATCCAAACCGTCAAGTCAGAACTGCCTGATGAAGCCGATGGTGAGGGCCTGGTGGAAAGGCCGCTGATGAGCTCTGTTAAACGTGGCGTAAGATTTGACTGTCTCATGCCTTGCTGTGGTTTTTAAATAGATTCAGGTAGTTGGAAAATTACATGTGAAGCAAGCACGCAACACCTGAGGCTCCCTTGTGCAGACAGGAAAACAGAGGCCCAGCACAAGCTGCTGGGCAGGACCAGAGCATGAGATGAGAAGCAGGCGGGTCTAGTGTGCTGTTATTCCACAGCCTCTGCGCCCTGAGCATCGCCAGAGGAGGTTGTCAAGATGGAGGGATGGCTTTGGTAAACACAAATATCAGGACCCTGGGTTGCTCATTAAGCACAGCTGAAGATATAAATCATCAGGAAGGACAAGTGAAGGCCACAGTGAGGCTGGCCACTTTACCACTCATTTTGGGTTCTCCTTGTTTTTTGTTCTGAACTCATAAAAATGGTTTCTGTCACAGGTGCGTGTTGCCCATTATGTGCTGGGATGTTACGGGTTTTATTTGACAAAGAAAAACTGGACACTATTGCTAAGGTAAGTTGCTTCATATGCCAGGTACCATTGAAAGCACATTGCTAAACTCAGGAATCCTGGAGTGCAGAATGCATTGTCCCTGCGTATAGATAAAGGACCTGCTCCTCAAGGCCACATAATTCATAATCAGTAGAACAAGGGTTGACACCCAGGGTGACTGGTTCCTGACCTGTGCTCCTCCCTGCCTTGCTTTTCCTAGGAAAGGTCCTTGCCAGCTCAAAGAGCATAGTCAGGGCCAGGTGGCCAGCAGTAGTAGAAATCCAGATTGCCTTTGCACCCCACAGCATCCCAGCACCCATTCCCCCAAGGAGCCTCCTTCCCTGTCTATCTGTCTTTCCCTTTCCCAGCTGCCCCCTTTTGGGGAGCCAGGACTCTAGTGATGCAATAGGTAAAGCCATGCCAGTTGCTGTTCTTCCTGCCTGTTGAGACACCTATTTCCACAGAACTTTGTTTCCCTCTGCCCTCCAGTTCTGAGCAGTTGCTTTTTGGGAAGTGTTTATGAGGCTGGAGAGAGCTCCGTTGGATCCCTTCCTCAGTCACTTCTGCCTTGTGTTTAGAGACAGGGTCTCTCACTAACTCAATGTCTCTTGTTCAGCCAGATTGCCTGGCAAGCAAGGTCCAGGGGCCTTCCTATTTCTCCTCCTCAGTGCAAAGATTGCAAGTATGTCCCACCACATGCAGAATTTTTACTTGAGTTCTGTGACTCAGACTCTGGTCCTCGGGAAGCTCCTGGCCAATGAAAGACCTTGTCTTAAAAAACAAGGTGAGATTGCTCAGTGGTTAAGTGCTCTTGTACTTACTGCTCTTTCAGAAGACTCAAATTGAGTTCTCAGCACCCACATCAGGCAGCTGACAACCAACTGTGAGTCTGGCCTCTGTGGTACCTGCACACATATGCATGTACCGGACGATCGATATATATATATATATACACACACAGACACACACACATACATAATTAAAAATGAGATTTTAAAAAGCTTTTTGGGTTTTTGAGACAGTGCTTCTATGTGTGGGCCTGGCTGTTTGGAACTTATTTTGTAGACCTGGCCTTGAACTCACAGAGTTCTGCCTACCTCTGCCTCCCAAGTGCTGGGATTAAGGGCGTGTGCTACCACTACTGGCATAAATATCTCTTTAAAGGAGGTAAAAAGATATCCTGAAGAATGACATCCAGAATTATCTCTGGCTGTGCATAAACATACACACACATACACATTTGATAGATAGAAGATAGATAGATAGATAGATAGATAGATAGACAGACAGACAGACAGAGCCTGAGCTAGAGACAGGAAGATGAGCAGTTAAAGATCATCTTCATATATAAAGTTCAAGGCCATCCTTGGTTACTTGGGACCCTATTTCAAACACAGAAAGAACCTAAATAAATAAACAGCACTTCTGAGCTGGGTATGCAGGTACAGGATTGCCGTAGAGCTAACAAGATTAAGGCAAAACCCTGTGCAAACCAAAGTACTTCTGCTGGGGGTTAATTTTGGCTGCAAACCTCTGTGGACAGCCCAAACCCCATTGTATTGGGCCCTGGGCAACAGGATTTTGACCAGCAAAGCCAAAGCTGGTGCTAAGCACTGGCCAAAGAGCCTCTTCAACTGCAGCTGAAGCAGAGTAGCTTAGGCAGCAAGAGGGATCCTCTTCAGTTCCTGGAAATGTCTCCTAGGTGACAAACAAGAAGCCAATAACAGTTCTGGAGATTCTGCAGAAGATCCGCATGCACGTGTCTGTCCCACAGTGTGATGTGTTTGGATACTTGAGCATCGAGTCGGAAATTGTGATCCTGATTATTCCTGTTGACCATTATCCAAAAGCTTTGCAGGTGGGGTTCACACACATTGTGCAGCCATCTTTCCACTTTTAGAGTTTAGTGGACTGACAGTGGGAGTTGGGGGACAAGACCAGGGATGGGAAGGGACACCTTGGAAGTTGGAAAGGACAGGAAGAAAGCAAGGCAGCCTCTGATGACAGGATCTGTTCTGGAGCCAAAGCCAGACACACCAGCCAAGGCCTGTAGAATAGGATACTGGCATGGGCCACGCAGCCACCAACCAAAGCCTCCAGTTTGTCAGGAGGATGATCCATTAGAGGCAGTGTCCAAGGCCCTAAGTTTTTCTTCCTCTCAGATCAGGGGACCTTGGAACCTCACTCTGTAGGCCCGATTTTCAGCAGAAAGTATCGAGGACTCATGGAAGTGGTGAATGGAGGCAGTTCCAGCTGCCTCATTCCAAACCTGTTTCCGTCCTCATCCTTAGAACAGTAGTGAAAGCATTCCCTATGACTGGGTCTGACCGACTCTCACTGGTGAGATAGGCAGTGTATGGTATAGTATTGTTCAAAACCAAAAATGGTTGACTGACTAAGGCAGTTGACATGTAGTTTCCATTCCTGCCCTTATATGTGTATAATAAGTTAAGCCCTGTAACTGTAACTCTGACTACACATAAGGGCAAAGGGAACGTGAACCACCTCTGTGGCTGTTCTGCTTTTGACATGTGCCTGGAATTTGCTTGACTGGACCTTTTCAAGGTTTTCTATTGAAAGAATCTTTTCCCTTACAGATTGAGGCCTGCAATAAGGAAGCAGAGAAAATTGAGTCCCTCATCAACTCAGACAGTCCCACTCTGGCATCCCACGTCCCTCTCTCTGCCCTCATTATTTCCCAGGTACAGGTCTCCAGAAGCCTCCCATCCTCTGCCATTGAGGACAGGCCTCCCTGCCACTCCCTGCTCCTCTTCAGCCTGGGTCTCACCATGCACTTGCTCTGGACTCGTCCCTGACTGCCCACAAAAACTGCAAATCATTCCTCGACTCGGCCATCCCACCTTGTGAAAGACATTCAAGACTGCTAGCTGAGCAAAAGCACATGTCACCTCTCAGCACCACAGTATTTTTTAATTTTCCAATACTAGGGGTTTTGCCTTGATTTTAAAACGATAAACTAGGCTCTCCCAGTGTAATGGAGATCACTTGCTGGTGGGTCGCAGGGCCACAATTTGCATTTTGCTCAGTAGGTAAGTCCCCTTCTCCAAAGCGAACTTACTGTCACTAATCAAAGAGAGACGATCACTTTATAGGAGAGGCCCTCTGCTGTTGGGTTTGTATCCTAGTAGTTTCAGAGTTCCTGTAAGCGTTGAGGCTGCCACTGTGCAGGTTTCTGTGTCTAGAAGCTAAGGGCTCAGTGCAAGGCCACTGCTGTGCCAGCATAGAGGGAGAGGAAGCTTTCAAATGATCACAGGCAGACTCCATAGACATTTAAGGCAGGACTCTAACGGACCTGTCTTGCAAGTGGTCCTTTCAGTCTTTGCCGGTTGGTGCCTGTGAATGGGGGCAGTCCCACTGCATCCAAGCGTCTTGTGTCCTGCAGTTTTATATTAGCCAGATATGCTGGTCAGTACTCATCAGTTCAGAGAGTTTAACTATCAGACTTTAAACCAATTGCTGCTACTATATAATTGCCAAAAAGTAAGATAATTAGTTCATGTAAATAGTACATGATTTTTTAATTTTATTATGAAGGTGAATAGCCATATTTGTAAAATGACAATCATATATGTTAGCCCTGTACTTTCCGTTCATGAAGACACATTTGCTTTTGTGATGTGCACAGTGTGGATAAGTGTCTGTCTGACTTCTTTTTATATATAATTATAAAGACTGTGGTTTATATATTTAAAATGTCAGGCTAAGTATTAAAATGTTTGCATGTTGTCTAAGAAATTGGATGCTTTGAATGTTTCACAGTTTGAAATAAGCTATTAATGTAATACTTCTTGTTTGTATGCACCTGAACTTAGATTTTACATGAAGTATTATTTCAGTGTTACTTGTACCCTCTGAAATACAGCAATATGCTTATTATACCAAAATGTTGTTGAAAAGTGGGCACTTAGAGCTTTCAGAGGATTTCAGTGCTGATGTTAATGTAGCCTCTGTTTCTGTCTAAATGTCTTCAACATACTAGCTATATTGTATATATATATATTCTATATGTAGTATACCACAATATGCTATATATATGTCTATATATAGTATACATCAATATACTAGAAAGCTTTTCTATTTTAATAAAAGTAATTTTATATGATCATGTGTATTTCCAGATAATGTGGACATTCATATTGAAACCATTTCTCACTGTTAAGTGAGTTGTGTCTTTACTGTACAATGAGAGGTCCTAGAATGGAATCATCCCAAGCCAAGACCTCTGGGAGAGCGAAAGAGCTGTGTTGAACACCTGGGCACAGCCAGAGAGTGAAGGCAGTGGCAGAATCTGGTGCAGACTCCAGCTTCGGGCCTTCCAAGACAGAAACAGACAGGCAGGTCTGTTCCCTTGGCCTCATATTCCAGCTCCAGGGGACATTTGGGGGCAGTTGACTCTGAAGTGTGGGGATGGAGGGGCTCCTGATGAGGATCTGACTAACATAACAGATCATAATGGCTTCCCATCACCTGAATAAGTGAAGCTGTTGCTGAAAGTCCCCCTCCCCCCTGCCCCAGCAAAGCTCTGCAGGCAGAGAACTAAGCTGAGGGAGAAATTCCTATTCCCTGGAGTTTATCCAAGCAAGATGTTTGACAATGCAAGAGAAGGGCTTGCAGGAGAAAGACAAGTTGGTTTAATAAAGAGCTGAATGGCCAATAGCTAGACAGGAGAGGATAGTAGGAACTTCTGGGAAGAGATACGAACTCTGGGAAGAAGAGAGCCTGGATTTGCCAACCAGACACGGAGGACGTGGGACTGAGCAAAGATATCAAGCCATGTAGCAGAATGTAGAGTAGTAAAAATGGATTAATTTAAGGTATAAGAGCTAGTTGGGAACAAGCCTAAGCTAAGTCCAAACTTTTATAATTAATAAGAAGCCTCCATGTCATTATTTGGGAGCTGGCAGTATAAAAAAAGACCTGCTACATTTGCTGCTCTAATACATGGCATGACCACACGAATGGAGAATCCATGCCTGCCAATGCTGCCACAGTTACAGCCTGGGCCTCTCCAGAAGCACTCAACAGTTGGCTGCTATTTGCAGGGACTCCAGAAAGCAAGCTCAGCAACTTCCCAGGGCTGGGGTGAGTAAACAAGGCTCCAGGCTCCAAGGCTCTGGGTTGGTGTGCACAGGCATGAGGCTCGACTCTCACAGAAAGGCAAACAGTGGCTACAGCCCTGAGCAAAGATGAACAGTTAACAGTGGGTAGCCTGGCCCTTTAATGTTGGCTCACTTAGTTAGAAAAGGCTGTAGGCTCAAAGAAAGCCAGGTATAGACAAAAAAAAAAAAAAAACCTCTAAAAATGTGCTTAGATGCTGAAGAAAGAAAATAAAATGAGTATAAACAGTCATAGAAAAAATAGTTTAAAAGTGATAAAGTGAAGTCTTTAAAGAGAGAGTTAAGTAATATAAAAAGAGTAAGTCTAGATTCTATATAGTGCTTTATTACTTTAGAAACATTTAAATGCTAAGGAACAAAAAACAGCTGCTGCTGAGAGACATTGGATTGTAGAAAAGGCTGTTGCATTGAACCAGCCTAAATATTTTAGGATGTCTTAACTTCAGAATGGAAGTCAAAAATGCCTTGTGTTGGGCAAGAGGTTATAACTTTGTTTCCACAGGAAATGAAAAGCTATGAATTCCTTCAAAATTAATAAAGATCCAATTTGATCAAGGGAGACCTCCTGAAAATCTTGGCTGCAGGCATTAAGGAAGAAACCAAGAAAAACTACAAGAGAGGTGACACATTCTCTGATCCCTCAACATGGGAGCAACTCTGAGAGGGGATGGCACCCCATACTTATTACTTTGTCTTTTTATATGGCATGGGTGGAGATTTATATTACAGTTTGGTTATGCAGTCCAGACAGAATTATAAAGTAGACAGATGCCATTGCCTACTCAAACATAAAATAAAAAAATCATCTTTAGCTAATTTGTGAACACTGCACAGATATGTGTGTTACCTTTAAAGGTTTGTGTGTTTTTAGAAAAGAAAAAGACAAGACACCAGTGACGACGAGTAGCCCAGGTGATCCAGCCTCTCAGAATGCCTCTGTTACAGTTGCCTCAAAAAATCTGCTCCAGGAAAACTGCAAAGCTGCTAGCCAAGATGGTCCAGCCTTATAGACTGACTACTCCAGCTAAGACTTTGGATAAGCTCTGTACTTTCCTATCATCCTGAGACTAGACAACAAATGATACAGCTAGCTCTTCCAGGACTTGACCATTATCCCAATTTTTTCAGGGTTCCCTAAAAAGATGCTGTTGCCCCAAGATAACATGAAGTAATTTTAAGAACATGATGCCCACATTCCCAAGACGTGGGATTGGTGGCTTTTGGTAATTCGGTGGGCCATGGATATCTGTCATTGTTTAGAGGGGTTAGCTACAGGTTGTTATTGGTTATGGTCATACGGGAAATTAAGCAAGGGAGGTTAAATTCAAGGATCTCTTTCTGAAAAAACGGGGGATATAGAAGTGATAAAAGGGTATGTTATGGAATCTACTTTTAGATTAAAAAGCTACTAGTCTGAAATACTTTACATTGGTATGTAATTTTGTATAATGATACAAATTTAAGGTTTTTTTTTGTTATAACATACTGTAAGGTATTGTACCTATGCAGCTCACTTAAAAATATGATGTAACATTTTAGTCTTTAAAATTTACTATTACAACTAGTTAGGATAATTAAGATAATAATCAAACTTGTATTCATGTTAGGTATGTTTTCAAGGTCAATCAGATATATTTTTGATATGTGGTCTTTAAACACTTCAGAGACCTACAGAATATGGGTTTAATTTGTTTTAATAACATAGGGTTTTTCATGACAGTGAGACACATCTGCTCCTGGCAATACCAATCTACTTCAGAGAAGAGGATGTGCATCAAAGAAATTCCATGTGGAGTTTGTTTGGAATGTAGCAAATGGGTAATAAATTGTCCTTGCCTCAACTGCTGACAGTATGCTGTCCAAATTGGACAAGCAGGACACAAAGGAAGTCAATTCTCAAACTTTTCCAAGACAGAGTAATCCAGTCCTTCAAAATCCCTGCTTCACAGAAAAATCTGTCAGATATTCTAGGCCTGAAGGCCCAAGATGGATGCCCAACATTACAGAGGAACCTTGGGTGACTGTTCAGGTAGCCAGCTGTCTCTGTCATTTCTATAGTTTGGGAAGTTGGTTGTCCTGTGCTTCCTGTTTACTCAAGTAATATTTTAGCCTTCTTGGGTCTCTGATATAACTATCTATAGATAGTTATAGTTTTACAATTTTCCTTGTTACCAATTTTTTTAAAAAGTCAAAAAAAGAGATGTAAAGTTTATAAAGATTAAGACACATAAAAGCCTGAGTTGTTTAAGAAAACGTTTTAAGGTCTAAAAGAATATTTTTAAGCTGGTAATACAGGTTATGATAGAATGTGGTTTAGGTATAAAACTTTGAACTCACCAAGATAGGATAGTTAATAGAGTATTCTCTCTGAATTTGCCAGATACAAATGGACTGAGCATTGTGAATGAAATTTTTATCTGATAATTGTTCTTATTATATGTAGTTTTACTGTGTTAGAGTCAAAACCTTTCCTTTTTATTTAGACAAAAAGGGGAAATGTTGTGGGATAATCTTTCTGTACATTGTGAAGATGTATCTCAGCAGGGAACCTCCTGATTGGTTTCATAAAGAGCTGAATGGCCAATTGCCAGGCAGGAGAGGATAGGTGGGAAGAGACAGGAGAACTCTGGGAAAAAGAGAGGTGGGGTTTGCCAGCCAGACATGGAGGAAGTATTGAGCAGAGGTAGCAGGCCACATGGCAGAACGTTATAGGACTTAGTTGGGAATAAGCCTAAGCTAAGGCCAAGCTTTTGTAATTAACAAGAAATCCCCATGTCATTATTTGGGAGCAGGAAGTACAAAGAAAGACCTATTAAAGGATTTTGTATTAAAAATTAGTAAAATGTAGTCTTGAAAAGGTCTCGTGCTCTGCTGTATAGTTGTCCCCTACGATGGTGTCCCATCGTAGTGCTTTGTGTCTCACCTTTCCTCTGGGGGAATTGTCATGAGATAAATGATGAAGAAGGAAGAGTCCTGGCCCATTCCTAAAGGCTGCCCAAGGATTCCTGTTATCTAAGCACTGTGCCAAACATTTTTAAATGAATTATCTCATGGAATTCTCATACACAGCATTTTTAACAACACACAGTTGATGCAGTTTAGACTTAATGTTAAAGGTGTAGAGAGATGGCTCAGAGGTTGAAAGCACTTACTGCTCTTGCAGAGGACCTAGTCAAGGTCCCTACACCACCATGGTGGTTCACAAACATCTGTAACTCCAGTTCCATTGATCCAGGGCCCTCTTCTAACCTATGTGGATTCCTGCACACATGGACTACACACTCAGGCACACACACACATAAATACGAAGTAAAATATTGTTTTAGACAGTTTCTCAATGTAGTCCTGGCTGTCCTGGAACTTGCTCTGTAGACCAGGCTGCTGTTGAACTCAGAGATCTTCCTGCATCTGCCTCCTGAGTGCTGGGATTAAAAGCGTGCACCTCCACCACTTCAGACACCTAAGGAATGCTGAGAGTGGGAAAAATAGTTTTCCTCATGGAAGAACACACCAGTTGATTTTCCAATGCCAAATATCCCTGAAAATACATACAAAAAATAATATACAGTCTGAGCAGGTTGTACTTAGGAATATATGTGTAGACACATGTACACATATGTATATAATAACAGTTATTGAAAAGAAGGCTGTGATTTGAAAGAAAGCAAGGGGAGGTTTTGGAGGGAAGAAGACAAGGGAAAATGATGTCATTATATTATAATCTCAAAATTTAAAAAAAGTTTAAAAGGCTTTTAAATTAATAATTCATTATACAATTTAGAAATTGGGAAATGAAATTGTTTATTAGCTTATCCTTTGGAGAAAATGCATCACATGATGTCAAAAATTTGAGAAATTTAACATACTAATTAACTGTGTAAACCAATATGCCTTAAAGAAGACTTGGCCGTAGTTGTACTAAGTTGATGAGTCAAGGAATTGAACTCTGTATTTCCTGTCAGAGTAGGTGTTCACAGCCATCACT